GGTTAGCTATGACGCGAGTCACAAGTAATGAATATCCATACCATATGGATCATGATTCGTGACCCGTGACATAACAGTGATCCTTAGTTCGTACAGGGCCCCCCCCTCTGAGGTTAAGAGTCTCAGCGAGCCGCTTATTGTGCGTCGACCTGTCCCCGTGTTCCCGAATAGCCTGCTCTGGATAATTTTCCAGTCAACCTCCCTGTTAATGAAACTGCAGTGGTATCGTAGAGGAATTAGTATATAATCACTGGTAGGCGGATGCTACAATCAGAGTTTTATGTTGGTTCGAGCCCGGGTCAAGTTTCTCTATCCACCTCGCTCATGGTCTATTTTCCTCTAACTTTTGACATGTCTACAGTATATAACTTGTAAATGCTCTCGGTCTAGCGGTTCTGCGGTAATCACAATGAACCTCACATTCTCAGGGTCTATTCGGAGTCACCTCTGATGTTATTGTATAACACAAACTACTGCCTGATTCTGCGAGACTCCCCATTCGCGAGGTGTTGGATTATGACGAAGAACGCGAGACCAGAAACGTGTTGCAACTGAACATTTTAAGAGTCAGTTAACATTTGATGCACTGAAATCCCCCTATTGAGAATCTAATCGATACAGCTCAATTCCAATACCGTCCCCCTATATTGAACGCGAATACAACAACATCGTTTAGGAAATTGGCATTCAGCCATGACGGAAGGTTGTAGATCAGAAAAATGGCTGTAGCATATCTATTTATGCAGTGGCGTCAACCTTGCTCATATGAACAGCGAGGTCAACAAGACGGTTGGAATAACCCCACTCGTTATCATACCAGGAGACGAGCTTGACGAAGTGCTCATTAAGAGCGATACCGGCCTTAACATCGAAGATGGAAGAGTGCTTGTCGTTGCACATATCAGTGGAGACGACATCATCATAGGTGATACCCATGACACCCTTCATGTCACCCTCACAGGCCTCCTTGACGGCGGCAACGATCTCGTCGTAGGTGGCAGCCTTCTCGAGACGGCAGGTAAGATCGACAACAGAAACATCAGGGGTAGGGACACGGAAGGACATACCAGTCAACTTACCGTTGAGAGAGGGGATGACCTTACCGACGGCCTTGGCGGCACCGGTGGAGGAAGGAATGACGTTGGCAGCAGCGCAACGGCCTCCTCTCCAGTCCTTACCACCCTTAGAGGGACCATCGACGGTCAATTGAGTGGAAGTAGTGGCGTGAATTGTGGACATGAGACCCTCGACGATACCAAAGTTGTCGTTCATGATCTTAGCAAGAGGGGCCAAGCAGTTAGTAGTGCACGAGGCGTTGGAGACAACCTTGAGATCGGACGTATACTCCTTGTTGTTAACACCCATCACGAACATAGGAGTGTCATCCTTAGGGGGAGCAGAGATGACAACCTTCTTAGCACCACCCTGAATATGGCCAGAGGCCTTCTCACCAGTAGTGAAGACACCAGTGGACTCGCAGACATAATCAGCACCGGCCTTACCCCACGGGATATCGCAGGGGTTCCTCTCAGAGAAGACCTGAATAGTCTGACCGTTCACAATGAGGGCGTTTTCAGCGACCTCGATAGTACCGTTGAACTGACCGTGGACGGAATCGTACTTGAGGAGGTACTGCATGTAGGGGATGTTCATGAAGGGATCGTTGACAGCAACGACCTTGACCTCAGGATTCTCCATGGCGGCACGGAAAACAAGACGGCCGATACGACCGAAACCATTGATACCGAGTTGGCAAACCATTGTTGTGGATAAATGAATCACAAGTGATGTTATTGCTCCGTTAAAGTGCTCTTACACAGCGTGTTAAGCTCAGCTTTCCCGCATCTTTGTCCTGTAGCTGTGGAGGGTTAGCGAATCGCTAATAGCGATGACGTGAGTCACAAGTAATGAATATCCATACCATTTGAATCATGACTCGTGGGATAACAGTGATCCTTAGTTCGTACACGATCCCCTCTGAGGTTAAGAGTCTCAGCGAACCGCTTATTGTGCGTCGACCTGTCCCTGTACTCCCGAAGAGCCTGCTCTAGATAATTTTCCAGTCATCCTCCCTGTTAATGAACCTGTAGTGATATCGTAGATGATTTACTATCTAATCACTGGTAGGCGGATGCTACAATCAGAGTTCCATGTTGGTTCGAGCCCGGGTCAAGTTTCTTTATCCACCTCGCTCATGGTCTATCTTCCTCTAACTTTTGACGTGTCTATATAACTTGTAAATGCTCTCGGTCTAGCGGTTCTGCGGTAATCACAATGAACCTCACATTCTCAGGGTCTATTCGGAGTCACATCTGATGTTATTGTATAACACAAACTACTGCCTGATTCTGCGGCTCAGTTACAAAATAGCAAAGGAGCAAATGGCAAAAAAGTGCCAATTAGCTGGAATGTATATTTTCTGCGGCTTTTGCTGTTGTGCTAGTGTGTAAGAACGCTATGGCTGATATACAGAAGAGCAAAGTAGCAAAATTCACTTCACAAATACGCAAATTTGCCGTATTGTATAACAGGAACTGCTCGAATGAATATCGTTTGCTTGTTCATATTTCAGAAAGTTGCTACGATATATAAAAGTTGCCGCTATGTGAGGTGCTACTATGTAACAATTCGAGCAATTTTGCTCAAAAAAAGGGGCAAACCAATAAATTGCTCCTTCTACTATTCAGCAAATTGCTACATTTCAGAGGAGCAATTTGCCGCTTTACGAATGGGCAACCCCGCAATGGAGCAAATTTTTGCAATTCTATAATCGGAAGAAGAAATTGAAATTTCGCACGCGAGATTCGAACCTTGGTGGGTTGTTGATGATTGTGTTGAGCATTGCATTATAGTTTCGATGTCTTTAGTTAAGTAAAGACTTACATTCGTTAAGGGTTCGTTGGGTTTTCATATTTTCTACATCATTGCAGTTCGCACATAGTAACAGAAGGGACCGGGATCGCCGGAAGGAGATGCACGAGAAACTCAGGAAGCTCAAAGAGGGAACTCGCAAGTAGTGTCAGAAGTAGTGAAGGGGAAACGCTGGTTACGTACAATCGTACTAAACCATGAGGCACAATTGATACGATGCAAAACGAGAGAGGATACTCGAAGATGGGGACTCACTTTAACTGTTATCTCATATGATTCAATCGCGACGTGCAAGAGCAATCATGTGTTTGGTATTCAGCATTGATCATAACTCGCGCTGTCTTCGGAGTGAATGATATATCTCACTAGAGTGCTATCACGCTTTGACCCGATACTAAGTGACTCACTTGAAGTGAGACACAAAGTGTGACACCTTTGATAGATGAGATACTTAGTAAGTGCACAGGGCATGAACATGTTCTGGAGCATAAGATATAAGGCGTAATACATGATAGTTACCGCGAATCTTCGCCCGTTCCCTATTCAGCGTGCGTCCTCACCGAGCCGTTTGCTACTAAATCAAACCAGAGACAGTGTTTTTCAACTTCTGCAAAGACTGCAAACACAGTCCCTTCTACTCCACGATTTAAGCTATACAGCTGGTGACTCATAAGCCGGCATCCATGGTATCCAGCAAAGCTTCCTATTCAACTATTGAACTTCCGAGAGCCTTTTAAGTACAATATAACAACGCTTCGTATGTCAAGAAACTGTGGCGGATGCAGCATTCCGAAGAAGTTCGAGAATAGTGACGTTGTCAGTGACATCCTCGGGACGTTCACCAGCCTTGTTCTCCTTGGAAGTAGCTCCTGCAGATAGTAGCAGCTCAACCTGAACCAAGGTCCCCAACATAGCAGTTTCCCTGTCGTTACCGTCTTCCGGTAGCCGTGCTTGCACGCGAAGTGAAGAGGAGTATCCCCAGAACTCAGAAGAGGCTGAGTGCATTCAGCACCCAGACTGTGGAGCCGACCGACGAGACGAGCGACCATGGCTGAAATGGAAATCACTATCCATCTTATACAGCAGGAGGATGAAGAATTACTATCAGTCCGGATGACGCCGTTCAGTGGCATTACCGCAAGTAGTACTGGAGTAGCGCCCCCATTCATACGAGTGTACTGGTTCATCGCTGACTTTACATGCGAGGGAACACTTTCTGACTTTGCGCCAACATAGGCATTGACAAACTCTGTGAACTGAGAGCTTATGTCACTGACCCTCACTGATGGACATTCATATACTCACTCTTCGCTCCGTAATTATATCAGTGGCATCTCGCACGAGCATGTGAAAAACATTGTCACCCGTGTAAGGATTCACTACGTCAGCACGGCACGTGAATGGCCATGATGCTAAAACCGAAATGATAGGCTCTGGCCTGTGTAACTAAAGGAAAAGGAATGTACGGCGAGGCCTCTATGAAGATTTAACCCACCACCGCAGCCGTCATCAATATCGTGTATCCGCCCATGAGGGAGGTACTACAGTCAATGTCACAAAGCGCTAAGATGTCGGTCAACTAAAAAGACATCATTATGTCTCAGAGAGGCCTCATGTGGAAAGGCGCTTGCTTGTTTCGGGTCATTGCAGCGTTCAACTGCTATGAAAGCCGACTCAACTACTTCCCTTGTCTCTGCACGGGAATCCATCGTGGGAGTTGTTGTCGCCATATTCTTGACATCGACTGAATCTCTCTCAGCCACCAAGTAGTGATAGAAGTAGCTGAGCTAAGGATTAACACTAGTCGGAGCAAGTGAGAGAAGACCTACTCTTCATCGAGACCCCCGGCTCTAAAATCATCCAGTCTTGCCTCGAATCGATCCTGGTCCAACCGTGATACTCTACCGGTGTCATTAACAATATCGTAGATCTGAGTAACGCCAGGTTCACTTGAGTAAAATAATGCGAGCCAAGTTGGATGGACCACCCTCAACCTACAACCGATTTTATTCGCACAGGAAGATCGTCGTATAGGCCGTTCGGCATAATCTTCCTCCGCTTGACCGCTAGGTTTTGGTTGAATTCCGTGGAACCTACGATGCAACTCTCCTCCCCAGAATTTGACCCATACCCATGCTCGTATTACCACTGCTGAGCTCCCGAGATGATGCTGAATCGACGGGTGAAGGGTCAGGAAATGGCGGTGCGGGAGGCGGCTTCGCTGACTTCACCGTAGTCTTCCACACAATCTAAGTAACCCACCAAACAACCCTTTAAACGGTCGTTGGTACTGTCGCCGTTACTTCTCTCTGTCCGTGAGTCCGTACTGTGTCGCAGTCACACAAGTCGTGGATTTCCGAGGCCAACTGAGCGACTAGACCATCCCCAGAAATACGGGCTCCGCTGGTCGATGCATCTGAGAGGGAATAGAGACTCGGCTGAGTTGTTCATCCCTGTCGAACGTCAATGCGGGTGGAGCCGGGATCGGGATGGACAAATCGCGTGGAATAGCAGCAACGTCATAGGGAGCCTGCAACATACCTGTTCCCAGAGATACAGCAGTCACTAGAGCGTCGGGGCCAGGGTGTTCCCATTGAACTGCCCCGGTTTCCACATTATAATAATATCTGATGATGATGGTGATGATCGATATCATAGATGATCATCGTCTATGATGCTCTCGACTGTCTATTTTTCTTAGACTCATAGAAGCGGCGTCTTCACTCTAGATCATTCCACTGTCACGACGACCTCTTGTAACTTACGGCAGCCCAGCATTCAATCCGGAATCGACGGAGTACGTATATTGATACCACCGGTTGGACATGTGGAAGAGAAAGGGCTAACGTGATGCCTGTAACGATTCGCAGTTTGATCATCACTTGGGAGCCCGCGTCCCAGAGAAATTCTCCCCACTCATGTCCAGCTCAAGGTTACATGCGCGGAACCGCTCACTCAACATGGATCCTTATTGACCTCAACAGCCAATCATTGCACCGTTGTTGCGTCTGAGACTTCTTGTATGCCATGTCCCCAAGACAGAATGAACGACAACACTACAAAGCTGGGACGCCATCGATTTACTCTGAACGGGCCTAAGCGGACGGTCCATGCCATGTCGGGCGCATTATAATACTCAAGTTGGAAGCTTCAACTTGTAGGTTCGTTATTAGTATTAACTTATTACCCATTTTGATGCTGCGAGCATCGAAGCATCAAATAGCATACGCAGCGTATTACATTGACAAGAATCCATGCAGAGAGTCCAATAATGTCTCGCCAAATGAACCCCGGGAACGAATGCATCCATGGAAGAGAAAACTAACCCAACACCACCAAGCGAACCAGGGAATCGTAGTGGAAGCATTATCTAATCTGAGATCTGTACCCAAGAGGTCACCTATCAGAGGTGCAATTCACCCGAAATTTAGGCCCTCAATTCCGTGGGGAACGAGCACAGTCACTCGAAAAACTTCGGAAAGTACAATACGTACTAACATGATACTTCAACATTACACTCGCAGCAAAATCCACGATCATCGTTACTATTAGCGCATACCTGCACAGAAAGCATTGTACTTCCGTTTACCGGAACCAGTTCAAGCTGAACGAGAGATCACAAGAGTTCTTTAAGGAAATCACGGAGAGTGCTGTTCGTATTCTGGCAAACAATATTACCTCGAATATATCATCAGTGCCTCCTTGTATATGCGTAAGGGTCCCTGGGCTCTGATTTCTGCGGTAAACGTACAGGTGAGGGAATGAAAGGATTGCCCCCTGATGAATCTCGGGACCTCCCAGGTGGTGAGGGTGGGGGTGGTTGAATAGATCGAGGTGATGGTGTCAATCGCTGACCGACACGATCCCACATGACTGTTGTACTCTCTCCTAGTTGATCATCATCCCACGAGATCGGGTCTTCGGCTTTACTGCGATGTAGCTGAAGAACCCATCAGGGATACGACATGAAAGATGCTGCCAATGAAGAGACGCAGTGGGTAGCTTTTGAGATTTGGTCTATAGCATTCATGTACAGCCACTTACTCCAGGATCATCTCGTATCAAAAAATCTTCACGGAAGCGGTGAGGGCTGCGACTGCGAGAGCGAGAAAGCCGACCAATTGTGTAATCATTGTGAGTTGAAATTACTCGTCGAGATCGGACATGACTGAAAGCAAAAGGCGAGAGGCTATCTTCGACCGTTGTCGCGGCACCGAATGATCAGCGAAGTTCGACGTGAATATACGAGCTTCTGTGTATCTCCTCCAAGACAGAAAATGAGAGCTTCATCGCAAAGGGTGTGCCCTAACACATGTTTGGGAGTCAGCATCTACCTTCTATCGCTTCGTTCATCAAACTCCTGTTTGGTATCGATTGGAGGTAGGGGTAGCACAGAGTGAGGAGGACGGAACATCGCTATGACATAGGGATCCACCATCGCGGCTTGCGCGGCCTAACGAAACAAGAAACCTGAGCAGCTGGACAGTCCAGCAGCTTTGCTGCTATTCCAGGAGTCGCGATGCGATGAATTTCCTATTTCGTAATCACATTACGTGGCGGTACATTGTACCGCGACAATGCGTGTATCATACAAAGCGCGCGCCGCGCGCCGCTTTGCCGAGTCAAATCATCATAGCTATAGATCCGAGCAAAGGCAGTACGGAATCGACACTTTCTTTGCTCAGACTCTACGCAAGCACTCGATCTAGGAAGTATAACCGAGTCAGGCTCACCTGGGATAAGTCTCCCAAGCAGTCCTCAGAATCACAGTTCTCCTGCACAGCCGAGCTGATTTCTCGCCCAAAACATGATATGCCCGCACGGCATCAGACACTCTGGGATC